TGCATCGGATGCCTTTAAAAATTTCACCCGTTTCTTCTCAAACCTTGACGTACTATGATACGTCCCCGAAAAAACAAAACACCGTAGGTGCATCGTTTGGTGTATGTAACCTGTACTATAGACTATGTTCTAGTTGAAAATTTGTGGTCAATTTTGTACATATACAACACATATCAAACTTGCGTACTTTCGCCACACACTGTATCTATAGTATCCCTTACCTGTGCAGGTGACAACAGTGTGCGAAAGTTTTCTCCTTCCACCTGTCCTCTTCTTCTTGTAGACGTCTTGTCAGCATCTCTAAGGCCACCTGGGAGTCTTGAATCTCACCGGTCCCTGTCTTATCTTGCTGTGACACTTCTTCAGACGCCATGACTCTATGAGTGTCCTCTCGCTCAGATCAGTCTAAAAAAACATCGGCCGCTCAAAATTTAAACTTGGACAAACTCGCCGGACGCCTTCCTTCGCTGGTGATATTTTCTCTCCTCAAAAAATGGTTGGATCCTTGATTCCAAACTATTTCAAGAGAAGAAAAAGGGAAAACAGCAATGGGAAAACACCCAAACACCCACCAGTCGCGTAAACTAGTGGATTTGTGCGCACATATAGCGTATAAGGCATGTGATAGTTGATACGTGTAACACAGAGTTGTGAGTCGAGTTACACCACGAGCCGTGGGTTCTTATTGTTCCCCAGTTTACTTTGTCTAAGTCAACATGGCGTGTTTAACGTGTTGATTGTGTTTAGTGTTGTTACTGTTGAAGTGAGATGGACATGGTTTTTCCATTGGGACTGGCGTGTTCACTATTATTGTTACTAACCCCGTGGGAACATACACGGTGCCTATCAGGGTTCGGTTCGGAGTTCAGCGCGTCCTTGACCGACTAGTGGTTTACGTTACTTCTTGGGACCGGAGAGGAGCAATACAACGGAAATATTTTAATTTTGACCCAAGCCCGTATATTGTGGACACAAGATGATTTATATTTGACTGGACGTTAAAAACTGCCTCCAAAAAAAGCATTCAATTTTACAATTCAATGATCCAATTTTTTTGGCAAGTTGAATACGCAGAGAGTATCAAGAACCTCAACAACCATGCCTGGTCTTAACCCTAACCCATTCAGGCATAGAACTAGATGGCCCCAGATAGGCACGGTTCTGTTACGATGTACAACTTTGCGAGAAAAACTTTTAATAGTAGATCATAGGATATAAGTGCCTAACGATAAGGAATAGGTTGGTTAGTTAGTGAGTAAGTGAAAATGTTTAATATTTTTATGACAGCCAAATGAATGATGACTGGAGTTTGATACCAAGTTTCTTGGAGAGTTGCCATAAAAAAACAAGTACCACATGTGTTAACAGATCATGATCAGCTTGGCTTTGCGTTTTGATCCAGAAATTGTTTCAAAGATTCTTGATGATTGCAAGATGGCTGAGATGCCATACTTTTTGGAACGAGAAAGCTTTGTCGTCCAGATCCAAGGTTGTATGCCAACAAACCATACCAAAGAAACCACCAGTGTCTGACGTAAATGTCAAATATGCCGTAGGAGGGTCTGTTGGAATCTCGGTGCTCTTTTGGGTTACATTTTCTTCCATTTCTCAAAGGTTTCCCAGCCAAAATAGTCCGGATTTCTTTTTCCCTTCTCCCACGAGTCCTGAGATGGAATCCAGGGTCAAGCTGCACGAAACTGTCCGCTGAGTTAAAGACTAACAGCCTGAAAAAGCTCCGCAAACACGGGGTACTGTTTTCACAATTACTCGCAGTACCTAAAATATCTTCTGGCACACTGGATTTCGTCTTCACAATTCTTTTTATGTTTTCCGAAGGAAAATATATTGTTTTTGCTCAGTTTCTTCTTTTTCTTCCGTTCCAGCACTGACCTCTGTCCTGGTCAATCAGGCCTGGACCAGACTGTCTGTCACCATGGTAACTGGTGTTGGGTTACATAATGTAGCAATTTTATAGCAGGAGGGATTTAAACTCCTGTCACCATATATGTGAATGTGTTTGAGTACGAATTAACAGAGCAGAACACACACATGCATGCATGCGAAGGTAAACATTATGCATAGAAAACACTTAACTTCTGTTGACAAAGTATCTGTTGTAAAATGTAACAAAGATATTTTTTCTCCTATATCACAGTGTATCAGAAACAATACTTTGTAGAAAATACATTCTGTGAAGTTCAAGTATTGCAGGCGAAATACTTCCTCCACTTACCCCACTACGAAAACTTGTGAAGTTGTGAGTCACCATTGAACTAAGGTGCCTCTTGGGCGGTCCACAAGTCTACCCGTATAGCTAGATGGGAGGGAGGGGGGAGGTAGCGCAAACAACACAAACGTTCTACACAGGAAGTGCGTGAGATCGTTTCCCCACCACTGTCCATATTGCAGGCTCAAGATCACCAGATAGACGCCTGGTCCCGGAGATTGGGACTGTTCGAAGCGCCGTGCTCGGGCGAGATAAGGCAAGGATGTTACAACCGGCACGACATGGGCACTCGGTAGAGGAAAGCGTACTTGGGCCACACTAAGCTAGTTTCTAGGATTTGCATACTTTATTTTGCTGAGGATGAATGTCATTTTGCTGTTGGCTGTGTATTGTATAGAAATGAGAGAAATATCGTCTATAAATTATAAAGATAAGTTTCCCAGTTTTCAAATTTTAGATAGAAATGAATTCATTTATTCATTATAATATAATGGATTTAGACAAACCGTGTATTATAATTATAAGCTCAGTATGTTCATACATCTACAATCTACATACATTTTAAGAAGCGAGAAGAAGTTGGAATTTTACGTAGTAGTCAAACCCGTAGCTAGTAGTACACATTAGTATGTCTATTGAAATATCTTGTAAATTTTGTATAGCATATATTTAACGAGTATCAGGCAAAAAACACAACTGCTTCAATTTTCCTCACAATCCGAGAGCCAGCAAGAAACAAAATAAATGTGACAGGAAAACACGCCTTGAATGTGTAGTGCTTGAGTCATAAGTTACAGTTGGCTCAGAAATGATAACATAACTGACTCCGATCACCAAATTTAAGGATTAAAGTGGGTTTTTAAGTCTTCCTAGTGTTAATCTGGTGGTATTTCGGCTGAAAAGTGTCAACTTTGTTTTCGGAAAGGCCTTGCCCTCAGTGTCCGCAAACACGTAAATCATGATCACACTTTAAATATAGAACACAAACTTCCCGGCATTTGAGATGTCCGTTCCTAATTCGATCCAACGCTTTTGAACCTTCCCGACTTTTAGAAATATTTCTCCTGACAAAAATGGCCTGTCCCCACCGTAAATCGAGTTATGTTCTGGATAGGGATACATTTAAGGCCGGGTCAGGCCCACAGATTTCCTAGATGACTAGTCTCCACCACTGACTCCCTTTGCAGGCTGATAAATAGTAGAAATTGGCCTAAAAGGGGGATATCATTGGTCAGAGGAGATGGCCATCAGAGAATCTCCTGTTTGCCTGCACAGATTCTATGGTGGTCATCTCCTCTGGCCAATGATGTCCCCCTTTTAGGCCAATTTCTACTATTTATCAACCTGCAAAAGGAGTCTGGTGGAGCTAGACTACAGATTTCCCGCGTCATTTAAAACCGCGCTAAAAATACACATGGAGGCGTCACGTGACAGGAGTGCCTGACCAAACGGCCTTTTCTCCGACTCTCTCTGCCGGCTCTGAGTTTCTCTTTGAACCCCGAGGCAGGCTGGCTCTCTCTGCAGATCTGCCGCGGCGTTATGTCAACATTCTCCACACGGAACACAGAGATCTGGTCCCGCTAACACATTCCCCATCCCGGTACGTACAGGGCGCCGGAGTCTACAGGAATCGTCTGCGGGAACATACGTATACCGGACCATCCCTGGCCAAGCTATGGAGGAATTGCCGCCCAACTGGGCAGAGGGCTAACTCCTACTTGGAAGGTTGATGTTATTTTTTTTACTCGTCTAAAGAACAAGACTGCAGTTGAAATATCCTGATTTGAAGGACTGTTTCTATACGGACTACGTGTTTTTAGAAGGCTGAGTAAGGATTGCCAGTCGCCATGGCGGAAAGTATAGACACAAGAGGAACTTTTCACCAAGTAGAACCTTTTGAAGACAGCGGAGCAGAGACTTCTGTAGCCATTTTGGAACAATTAGAATGGGAAGAAGAGCAGAGAAGACAAAAGGAGAGAGGAAGATGCCGGTGTCATTGGAAATACCCGTGTACCATCCCTGGGATCGTGAAAATCGTGGAAATGGTAAGGAAGAAACATAGCTGTGTGTTTTGTAAGCCAAGCGTATTTCGTATGATGTGCACGTACGTTCAGATGTTTCTAACCCTTCAAAAGCGGGCTATACCAAAGTAGCCAGTCTGAATTGCATGCAAACCTAGGAAGAAATGTTCCCATTTTTAATTTCTACCCACTACGGCAATGAAAACAATCAAACGGTGGTAGATATTGAGAAGGAAAGACAAGCTTGTTTTTTATTTTTAAATCCGAAGGCTGGCATAGGCATGGAAAGTCGCCAGCGCACGGAATGTGAACAACGCCCGGCGTGCCGGAGCAGGCATATATGGCAGTGGAGTTCATTTGAGATGTTGGACCTATATTCAGCGGAGACAAGCACTGGAGTTAAAAATAAACATGACATATTGATGTGAAATACGCGATGTGTGGGACCACGCCTATCTTATACCAACACCCCCTCCTCTCAGTCGCTATGTCATTTCCCTTAGTACAAACCGAGACGTATAGGAAGTTCTTAAAACCTCACACGTCCGTCGTATCTGCTTGTCACTTCACACCTTGTTTAGATCAATTTTCTTTATAAACTTTGCAGGTGCTGTAGCAACACTGAGAGTGTTGACATGTGCCGAGACTAAATATGGTGGTGTTTTGATACAGTTTGTACTGGAGTTAACCTTTTTCTAAAGCGACGTGCCCATACTACTATTTGCTGGCCTCGTCCATAATGTTCAATACAGAGTCACTGCCAGAGTTCACGCTAAAAAGGTAACGCACCAGTTCTGTGGCTTGGTGCCAGTGCGTGGCTTGTTATGCGTTCGGTCCTTTTTCGGAACAGTGCCCGATGTTGTTGGCCTCTACCAGGCACCGCGGATCGCTGAAAAAAATAGTAGAAATTGGCCAAAATAACCCCTGGGTAGCAAAATGTACCTTCTCTAGGCGGCTAACTCCCTTGGTATAGTATTCCCTTTATTTTGGCCAATTTTGACTACTAGTAGTATTTTTCCAGGGACCCGCGGTGCCTGGTAGAGGCTACGATGTTGTAGGCGAGGTCTGTGAGTCATTCTGAAGCAAACTAGTGAGTCACTTCTGACGAAAACTATTCAAGTTACGTCCAATTCTGGAAACATTTCAACATTTCAAGACGATTTTCGTCCTAAAGAATGATTTGGAAGGAAAGGCTGAAGGAAAAACACGTTAATGTCTTCCTCCCTTTGGGCAAACAGAAGTTGCCGGAATGTAAACAACAACATCACGTCTCAGCCAAGTGTCAATCATTACCAATTGGTTCATGCTGCATGGATAGGCGAGGGCAGTGCCAAGTTCAAATCATACCATACCACGCCATACCATACTTATGGACGGGAGAAAAACATCAAAATCATTTTTGTTTTTTTTTATGAAAATGTAGCAAGAAGCTATATGATACAATAAAACTGGACTTGTATACAACAAAGAAGTCTCTTCTAATTTCTGTTGTCTGTATTAATTAAAGTCTTTATCGGGATTAAAAGAACGCTCAGCAGAGACGGGGGCCGCTATAGAGTTCCTAACCGTGACCTTTAACCTAATATTGACGCCCTGTGCCGTTATAGGTCACGTGGCCTTAGTAATTCAAACCTGATGAAGGCTACAACTATACTGACAATAAAAAGTTCTGGGAGACTTCCTCCTGGTGTTGTGTTTTACTTTGCTGTTTGTTTTATATACACGTAAACAACAACAAACGTTTTCTTTTCTTTTGGCCTTCAACAGATCCTGGATATGATCGCGTTCCTCTGTGTCGCGTGTTCTGATTGGTACGCCGACTTCCACTCGACCTATCGCTTCTTCGAGTTCGTTTCTATGACGACGTTCTGGATCACCTTGACGCTGATGGTGCTGTACATCACCCTGACTATCTTCATGTGTCCGATCAACTGGTCACTCTTCGTAAGTAACAACTTCGTTCTTAAAGGGACATTGCGTAACATTTTTGCACCCAAATATTGAAATATTTAATTTTTCAAATATTTGTATGATTATATCACATATCACATTACTGACATTTATGGTTGCCACTAAAACAGCCCAGAAGCGGCGCACTCAGTTTATGGTGCCACCACAAACTACCAGCATGTAAACAAACATGGCTGATAGCTGTGTTTCAACATTTAATTTTAAACACACTAGTAAGGCGTCATAATTTGGCATCTACACTTCTCTGCAATGGAGTAGAGTTGATTCAACTTATTTTGTAAAGAAACGACAATAAAATTTACTATCTATATTATGTAGTAAGTATACCAATCTGAATATTCGATATCGTCTGATACATTTACTAAACATTTACCTAAAACTCTTCCCCTGTGTTCTCCGGTCTATTCCAGGAGTTTATTTACTGTTGTATAGCAGTTATCCTGTACATCTTCGCCTCGTGTTTCCTGGCCGCAAGAGCGTACAACATTGGAGGACTAGCAGCGGGAACGGTAAGGATTCTAGCCTCCATAGCATGCCAAAAACTGGGGGGTTTTGTGGTCTTCAGGGTCTTTGGGAGCTTTTATGTGCTATTTTCTGCTTGCATATAGATAACATAGCCGGCCTGGTTGAATTACCCCCTTTTTTTGAACTGGGCTAATCAGAAAACAACCGAAGACCACCAAACCCCCAGTTCTATAAGCCTGGTACGGAGGCTAAAGGATTCTACATTGTTGATATCGTTGGGGGTTCCACAAGGATCCCTCTTGGGTCCCCTTTGTTTCAACTTGTTTAAAATGAGCTCAACAGTATTAGGATCACACTGTGAACGTCAGTGGCGGAACTGAGTTTGGCAACTTGGTGTTGTTCTACATGTTAGAATCAAGAAAGAGAACACAGATTTAAAAAAAAAAAAAAATTTGTTCGAAAGTTTCCAAGAAGACTTGAGTAATCTGCAGCTGGGTAAAAAGTATTCCCAAGCTCCTTGGTGCACCGTTGATCTGCCAGCATCATTTAGAAGTACCCCGGCCGGCTGGTCGGTCAACTACGGTACGCCAACTATGCCAGCCCTGTTCTGAGTGCAGTAGCCTCGGTGCCAGCCTTTTTAACAAGTTTGCACGCTCTTCAGTCGCTTTCCTGTCATGCAAAGCAATGGGAAGCAACTAGCTAGGAGAGTGTACTGAATCCGAAAAGGCTTGTATCCAGGCCAGATTTCAGAGATTCCAAATGATCTTGACCTGTTTATTCGGTGTATAACAATAAAAGACAAGAGAAACAAAATAGTTTTAAAAATATTTTTGGTACCTTTTCTGTGTTGAAGAGAATCAGATAAAGGAAGAAAGACCCTAAAATCTTAGCCTCCTTCGCAAAGTTTTGGCGTTAATTTTTTTTTTTCGGGGAGCGACGCGGAGGGAGTTTGCCGGGGGGAGAGGCAAAACTTAGGCTAAAATCTTGCTAGCCTCTACCAGGCTTCGGGAGGCGGCTGGAAAGAGTAGAAATCGGCCAAATAGAGAGATACTAGTAGTATGCCAGGGGAGTTGATCTGCTGGAGAGAACAGTTTGCGGCTCCCGCATGCTATCTCTCTATTTGGCCGATTTCAACTGTTTTCAACTCCTCCCGAAGCCTGGTAAAATCTTGCACTGACTTTAACTTCTCTCCCCCTCTAGGTGTTCGGTTTCTTCGCCGCCATCGCGTACGCGGTTGGCGCGCTTGTGTCGTGGTGGGAGTGCCGGCACCCGGAGTGGGACCTGCGCGGGCTCGGGGAGGAGGACTCGTGGCTGCGCGGGGGGACTCCGTGGTGGGCGCCCGAGATCCAGGCCAAACGCCACCCCAGAGTCGTCAGTACGTAAACTAGCACACTAGCCTCTACCAGGCCTCGGGAGCCGGCTGAAAAGAGTAGAAATCGGCCAAATAGAGAGATGACATGCCAGGGGAGTTTGTCTGCTGGGAGAGAACGTTGAACTATTTGGCCGATTTCTACTCTTTCCAGCCGTCCCCGAATTTGACAGAATTCTGACGAATTTTACAGAATTCATACGAATTTTACAGAATTCATATGAATTTTACGGAATTCATACGATCCATTACTCGGAAACATACGATCCTTACTAATTTGGTGATCCAAGCTCAGGTCACCAACTTATTAGTAAGGATCGTATGTATTCCGTAAAATTCGTATGTATTCCGTAAAATCAGTATGAATTCTTTGGCACCCCTGCTTATATATGTGCTTTTGTTTAGTAAGGGTTTATTGATAAAATTTAAAAAAATGGTATGACGAGTCAAAGTTTTAAAACATCTTAACTTCAAGTAAAATACTTTTAAGACATAAAGAATAGATTAAATCATTATTGACCACGGCCGTCCGTCAAAATTAGCAGTTTGGCTATGAAATTATGATATTAAGAGAGTGACGACTACTCACCTGAATAGCTGGGTGCCTCCGCCATTTTGTCAGTATTTTTGGCATTTACATACTTAAACTGAAATGTGGGAGGGCGTGAACGATCTCAAGTATATTTTGAAGGAACTTTACAGTGAAACAAGAGGGGGTCAAGGTGGTTCTACTACTGTCACCCTCTATCCTTGGTCTAACATAGAAGACACTTGCTGAATCCTTGATTTTCTTTCCTTGTATTTTAGTCTCCAAGGAGTTCTACGCCACGCCTATACCTGAACACTGTAGCCGCCAGAACACTCCCAGGAGCACCCCGAAAGTTCAGCCCAAACCCACGAGTCTGGACGCCCAGAACGGCCTACAACCGCTGCCCGAACAGAACAACGTCAACGAGGCTTCCCGGTAGCACGTTACACCTGCGCCCCCTAGCGGAATTCGTACAAACTTGTCGGGCACCAACCTTTATATACAGATACTGTATAAGAATGTAGAAGGATACTGATATTGCAACACATTGGTACCAAAACAAAAACCCTTCGTATAAGTGATGGACTTCTGACATCCCAATGACTAATAGAATATGCAACTCGTTGATTCTATATACTGTTATTTGTCATCATAATTTGTGCTTTTGTGGTCGCTTGATAACTATTATTAAGTATATCCCTTTGACAAGTGCATTGTATTTCTATTTTACTCTGCAATGGTGCTACTATAAGCAAGAAAAATAATATTGCAGAGTAAGAACGTGCAAATAACTGTAGAATAAGCCAAACTCTCTAACCTATCATGTAGATATTGTGAACATTCTATGCTCTTTTTGTCCCAATTTTTCATATTAGTGCAATTATACTCAGGAAATGTTGGTTAGAAAGCACGCTAGTAAAACATTATTTTGTATTATGAATCTTTCCGTTGGCAAGATAGCCTGATATGTAATTTATACACTGTTAAACAGCTTTGTCTAATGTGTTTTCCTTTCAGTGAAGAATGAAAAAGTTACCAAGTTGGTAGCAATAGTTGCCTTTCTCTGAGTCCCCTGTATGTATTATGTGCGTTTTGAAAAAATACAATGTCATCAACTTTTGCACATCTCGGACTGAAACTCTATTATTTGTAATTTCTAAATTACGTTCTAGAGTTTATTTGAATTTTTATACATGTACCTTCATAAGCCTTTACAAAGTACTGTGAATATTGAAATATTTGCGTTTTGATTTTGCAGGTTTTGAAAACAGACAAAATTTGATGCACGCTCAGATGTCAGCCATAAAATAAAGTCAGTGTGGTCTTATATATAAGGCCATGTTGATTTGATTACATGGATGACATCCGCGCGCGCATGAATTTTCGTCCGTTTCCAAAAAAAAAGTTTTCAACCATACTGTAAATTGTACAAAACAGTTGCAAAATGAGCAAAAATATACCAAAGTTACAAAAAAAATTAATAAAAACTATACCAATGTCGTAGAATGCCAAAATCAAACGAAAAAAGACGAAATTGTAAAGAAATGAACTTGAAGACTAGATTATTCGCCAAACCATATTCTGTGCCATTTGCTCAACCCTCATGACCACGTAGATTTCATAATGAAAAGAACTTTTTTTTT